TTATCAATCATAGTTTCTATGATTTTTTGTTGTTTTGGTATATATCTTATTCTGTTGTTGTCTGTTGATCTATCATTAGGTATTGGGTTGTTGTATAATATATCTTCTGTGTTAGCACAAAGGAATTTTTTGCTCAGCAAAATCAGAAAAAAATAAATGTTTACTTTGCGACCGAAAAAAACACTCCAAGATAAATTAGGAGATAAAAACGCCCTAACTGAGAAAAAAGACGATAGTTGGGATATATATTTACAATTAGAGAGAAAGGATAAAGAGAATAACTTTTGCTCTAATTTAGTTTTCTGAACTTTGATCCAGGAATTAACTGCTACTAATTTTGCCACCGCCGATAAAGACCCTGTTTTTTGACAACAATTTAGTGAAGATCTAAAGTGAGTTAAGGAAAATTTAAAGGAGCAGTATCAAAAAGAGTTTGAACTGTTATTGAGTCCCTCCACTTTTCCCCATCAGCAATTAGAAATCAGTGATTTATTAACAGTCTATTTTCCTAATTCAGAAAATATTCCTGAAAGGCACAGAGCCTTGCCGTAGGCCAAAGCCAAACAATAAAATCGGTAGTAAATAAGGAAATAGTGGATCAAACTTGACAAACTATTCGGCAAGAATTAATGGATTTAATTAGTCAGTAGTTAAAAAATAATCCGGAGGAGGAAGAATTAGCCAAATTAGCCGTTAAAATGACCATTGATTAATAATGAACAAGAATATGTTATTCAGGTTCAGTACCATTCACAAAGTCCCTTTAGTAAAGAATTAGAAAAGTTAATTACAACAACTCTTTTAAAGTTGGAGAATGAGGACTTAAAGAAAAAACAAGAGCAATTACCCAGTAATGAGAATTTTGAAAAATTAACTAAGCAAAACCAAGCCTGAGATAATTATTTACAAGATTTTGTAGATGATGAGGAAAAATTTAAGGAGATAAAAGAAAAAATAAGCCAAATTAAATAATTATGAATACTATTAACGCCCAAGAATATATTAACCAATTAGTTGCGGATAAGAGCCAAGCCCAAACAATCCATATTTTTTTAGAGCAAGAAAAATTAAGTGGGGAATTAATTATTTCAGATTATCCTAATCTAGATACTATCGACTTAAAAAATCACGAATTAACTACTTTAACCATTAATAATTGTCCTAATTTAAAGAGCGTTAATGTGCGAGGTAATAAATTGAGTAAATTAGAAATGGTAAATTGTGAGCAAGTTAGTGAACTGATGGCGGGCAATAATGAATTATCCCAGTTAGATTTAAGTACTTATTCTAATTTGAAAAAGTTAATTGTTCCCGATAATCCTTATTTAACCCAGATTGTCGGCTTAAATTTGACCTCTATCAATAATGTTAATATCACTAATACTTTGGTTAATTTAGCTGACAGTCAATTCTAATATTACTAACATAAATAAACTAGCAAATTTAGATATTCCACAGTTGACTGAAACACTAGGATCAACTACCTTAATACAAGATTATATTATATCTCTTAAACAACATCAAAAAATGATATACTATGTACGAAAACTTGAAAACAACCTTGCACACAAAAATAATATTGACAAACATATAACCAACTGCTATAACAACTTTATGGCTAATACTACATCAATGATTAGTAGTATGCTACAAAGACATACTGATCTAGTAATCTTACACAACATAACATACCCTAACTATATTATTACAGAACCCTCAGAAATTAAAAGAGAAATCAAACAACATTTTGAAAGCTAGACCAAACCTAACCCTACAAATAATGACTACTGAGACGATTTGCAAAGTGAATATCTACCACAACCTAATATCAATTCACAATAGTACAAAGAACTATTACATCCAATCTCAATACAAGAATTGCAAGATACTATACAGGAGTCTCCAACAGGCAAAGCAACTGGTCCCCAACTTATATTGAATGAAATGCTCAAACATCTCGACAAATATACAATAGAGAAACTACTAGACATCTTCAATGCATGTATAATATTAGAAAAGATTCCAAAAATGTGGAAACAAAGCTCTATATATCCGATATCTAAAAAACAAAAATTCTCTAGCCAACTAAATGAAACTAGACCTATTTCTCTTATAGAACATACAAGGAAAATCTTTACTAAACTTCTTACAAAAAGATTAAACTCTACTCTAAACAGATATCCTATTCTCCACCCAAGCAACCACGTAGCCCTTCCTAATACCTCAACTACACTACCTATAACTACAACAATGAATATTATTGAAGATGCTCAAGTTTTAAACAAAGAACTTTGGTTACTTAGCCAAGACATGTCTAAAGCATATAACTCTGTTCACATCCCCTTACTCAAAAAAGTACTTAATCGTCTCAAAATTTCTAACTCTATTACTAACCTAATAACTGATATCTTCTCAAACTGATCAAATACAGTTATCACACATTTGGGTCTAACAGAATCATATACAGTACATGATGGAATAGACCAAGGAGAGACGATTACCCCTCTCTTATGGCGAATATACTATGATCCTCTGTTATCAACAATCTACAAAACTACTACAGGATATACAATGCAAACAACATTTACATATCAAAACACTCTAAAAAAGATTCAAACAAATATCCTCACACTTGCATATATAGATGATACTTTATAGATCGCTCGTACTCAAGAGGAACTACAAAAAATCCTTAAAACTGCAACATCATTTTTCTATCTCACCAACATCAAAGTTAACACAAGCAAATCTATACTTTCAGTTACTAACTCATACAATACTAACCCTAGTATTTTATTCAATAATACTCTTATACATGCAGTTCAACCTAAAGAAGCCTTTCGTATTCTAGGTTGTTGGTATACAGCATACAAAACCTACAAACCTATTCATACCAAAATTAAGAAAGAAGCAATACAAGCAATCAAAAGAATTACACAAGCACGAATTACTGATAAACAGGCCATCTATATTACTAATACAGTAATACTAACTCAGATAGCATATAGAATTCAAAACATATATCTTCCATTGGCTACTTGCAAGAAGCTCACAAAGCAATATACTGAGACCATTAAGCATAAGGCTGGCTTTGCAAGAACAAGTCCTAATTCTACATTTTTCCATCACCAGATCTATGGACTATGTACTATAGAGAATATCCAAACTCAACAACATATCTCAATTTTATATCGTCTACTAAATTATCCAAACTTCCAAAACTCTTCATTACGAATTCGCCTACAACAAATTCAAAATACAGCAGCCTCTAACATATCAATACTTACTCAACACCATTACATTCTCCTAAAAAAACAAGCTGATACACCACTAGCTCTTATGCTACTACATCTTCAACAATTACAAATATTATTCACTAATAACAACAACAACTAGCCCAAACCTCTAGAACAACAAGGCACAACAATTAATAACATCCTTTACTTACTAAAGAAACTACATCAAATCAAGACCAAACTAAACAAAATAGACCTATACTTTATTGAACAACTCACAAATCACAACAATACAACCATACTATCCTAGTTTCAACTACCGCATAATTTATAAATAATCCCAAGAGGAAAAAAACCAAAATGGTATGAGATAATTACTAACGAAATAAAAATATTACTCTCCTCAAATGATAGTTATCTTATTACACCGAACCCATATACATATAACAACCAACATATCAACAAAGCAACATGGGCTATAAAGAAAAAACAAGATACGTTCTTTATAGGAAAAATATCCTCACTAACAAATCAAACAGCAACTATCAACTATTGGCCTCTAAACGCCACTACGAACAAACTGTCACCATATCAGGGATGTTACCAAAATGACCCTAAACTTAACAAAGTAAAATGCACAATACAAGCCAACATCCAGCAACTAAACAAGTTAACAGTTGATAGCAAAAAATTCCTTTGTACTAACATAGAGGATATACTATACAACAACTCAATACCCAATGATAGATCAACAGACAACAACAGAACAAGATATATACCAAAACAACAAAAAATCATAGAAACTATGATTGATAATAGAGAGATTACTGACTACATATGGAATATACACCAATCACTAAATACATACAAATCACTCACTATCCAATTTACCACAACACAACATACTATTAACTGTATACAAAGTGAAGTAATTGTATGCAAAATACATCTACTAGAAAACTAACTACTAATCAAGATGCTAAATTGGCCTTCAACTACTAAAAACCTAATAACAGCACTCATATATACAGCTTTAATA